TGGAGACACTGTGCTAAGACTCGCTGGATCGAGGAGGGCGACTCCAACTCCCATTTCTTCACTTGTTTGCTTCGGCTCGGCGTAGAGGGAACCGTATCTTGAAGGTCCAACGTAGTGACGGGGAGTGCACGTCCAAGCAGAACTGCATCCAAGAGGAGTTCATTAATTTCTTTCGGCTCAAGTGGAAAGACAGGTCGATCCTTATGGATAATTGGCCACGGTTCCAGCGAGATGAGGTTGTCCTGGATCACCTACGGAGGGAGCTGGAGGCGGAGGTCTCGGATTTGGAGGTTAGTAATGCTGTGTTCAGCATGGGTAACAACCGCTCTCCGGGATTGGACGGTATTATTGTTTCCTTTCTTAAATACTATTGGGAAATTATTAAATGTGACGTTACCCGTGCTATCCTCCACTTTTTCTGTTCTAACTCCATGTGTGAAAGCTGGAAAGACACCTTGGTTGTCCTGTTGCCTAAATCTATCAATGCAGACAATCCGTTGAAATTTAGGCCTATCAGCTTGTGTTAGTCCTTCTATAAGGTTGTGGCTAAAGTCCTCATCAACAGAATTAAGCTCGTGCTCGGCAACATCATCAGTGAGGAACATGGTGCTTTTGTTCCTGGGCGATCCATCTCTAGTCATGGGCTCATTGCTCAGGAAATGATGTGCAAATTCCAACATTCGTTTCAACGTGCGGGCATGATGGCACTGAAGATCGACATGGCCCAGGCGTATGACTGCCTGGCTTGGGAGACGCTGCAGCAGGTGATGTTCCGGTTTGGGTTCCCTGACCGCCTTGTTCAGTGGATTATTATGTGCATTGTGCGGCCTCATTTCTCTCTGCTGATTAACGGCATCCAGTCTCCTTGGATTCAGGCTTTGAGTGGGCTCCGGCAGGGGTGCCTGTTGTCCCCGTACCTCTTTATTCACTATTCTGAATTTCTTACTAAGGCATTCAGGCAACGTGGCGACCAACTGGGGATCCGCATTGTCCCCAACGCTGAAAGTATATTGCACTTGTTGTATGCGGATGATATCCTTGTGTTCGCGAAAGCATCCCGGCGAAATGCTGCCCGCATTATGAATATCCTCGGGGAGTATTATGGTTGGACGGGGCAGTGTGTCAATAAGGAAAAATCGGCGATCCTCTTTAATAAGCGCTGTCCCAAATGGAAACAGAGGATGATCGCCCGGGAGATGGGGTATCGCCATGTGGACCATTTCGATTATTTGGGGATTCCGCTGGCTATGCGGAAACTGAAGTGACGTTACCCGTGCTATCCTCCACTTTTTCGATTATTTGGTGTGTTCATGATAAGACGAACATTTGGGGTAAGAAGCACCTCTCGTACGCCGGTCATGCCTTGTTGATACGCTCGGCGCTACTCACCATTCCCGCTTACCTATTAGTGCACACGGAGGTGCCTTGTAGTGTGCTTAATTCTATGGAGAAGCTGGCCCGGAGGTTCCTATGGCAGAAGAATTCAAATAGCAAGGGTATGCATTATGTGGGATGGAATGACCTCTGCCTTCCGCGTGATCAGGGGGGCTTGGCTTTCACGATCTGTCGGTGTGGCGCGGCCCCCTTCGTGCTCAGCTTGCTTGGACGGTCATCAACGAGCCAAATTCTCTTCTCCATAAGGTCGTGACTGCCAAGTATGGACCTGATTTCTGGCAGCTCTCTCGGACTCCGAGGTGCTCCTCTCCTTGGCAAATCCTCCGGGAAGGGGCTGACGCTCTCTCGGCGATTCTCCAGTGGCGCATCGGGGATGGGCGTCGTATTTGGATCCTACAAGATTGTTGGATTTTTGACCGTAAGATTAAAAAGTGGCCAACTTTTGTTAACGTGGAAGAGGTTGAAGACACTTACGTTAGCAACCTTTTGAAAATTCGTTGGAGTGGGATGCGGAAATGGTGATTCGTTG